GTGATCCACTTCGGACAGAGGGCAGGGACGTTAACGTAAGACAGAGTCCGTGTTGATTCGATGTTCACAACGCTTATAAGAGGCTAATGTCTCGCTTCTAATGGAGACTAGCAGTAACCTCTTGTTACCTTGCATAAAACGATCTGATCATTCTGGTTATGAACAATTGGTTTTGTGGAAGTCTTTAGGTTATAAACACAAAACTTCCTCATTGCTTTTAAAAACCCTCAATAAAAAGCCCCGATAAATGTTTTTCAGTGCCAAGACTGCTACAGAAACCACTAAATGTGCACATTTACGATGTTATATGCCTATTAAATATATATGAAACCAGTGTGAAATGTGCTTTACCGTACAAGAGTGTGCTCTGGGTGTCTCATGCATGTCAGTAAAAATCCCTACAGATCAGAAGTGACAGGTGAAGTGGCAGATACTTAATGTAATCATTTGATAACATACAACCTCACACATGTGGTTCCATCACAGCACAGACATGCGATGGGGTACTCTTCCATGTCGGGGCTATGAATGATAAGCACTCGTAGCTCATGATTCTCTGCAGAGGCTTTTATCTAGCTTCGGGTCGCAAGCATTACAGAGATATTACAGGAAGATGAGAAACCAAGAAGCAAAGCAGTGGCAGCAGAAAATAGTAAAAGTTAGCGACCCTCATATTTTAAACATTCCCACACATTAAGCATGAGCCGATAAGATAGGAATGTTTGCTTCTGAGCACACACACACAAAGATGCCTGCTATGAGTGTAAGAAGAGTACAGACGCGACTGACAGGTAGAAGGAAGAATAGGCTCCCACTCTGCAGGGGACGCTACCTCTGCAGCAGAACAACAAGCACAAAACCCAGCAAAGCCCACACCTGTTTGTGCATGTCAAGTTCAAGGCTTATTTCCAAGACAACACAGCAAAATGCCAGGGCTTCGCAATACAGCTAAGAATGATATCGATATGCAAGCCTTGTTGAAAGAAATCTAGAATTTGTGGACCCCTGCTGCCGTCTTTTTTGGGAGAAAACAGAAATGTTTCCACTTATTCCAATAACATATCTTCTACATCTGAGACAACGTACGCACAAACATTTCCTACAAAGTTCTCTCCTTTCTTACTCTCTGGAGCATGAGCTTTTTTCATTATTGTGATCCTCCTTGTACTCAAATATATCTGAGGATTTTGAGCATTCAACGACAATGAAAAGGCTACTGAGAGAAAAAGTAATAAATCATACCTGAGAAATCATTTGGTATTTTTGTAGAAGCTATGTTCCGTGTCTACTTTTTCAGAGTAACTCAAATATTTTAATTACTTTTATAACAGTAAAAACCAACGTAATGAGTCATTACGTTGGTTTTTACTGTTATAAAAGTAATTAAAATATTTGAGTTACTCTGAAAAAGTAGACACGGAACATAGCTTCTACAAAAATACCAAATGANTACTGAAGACTAGGACCCAAGGGC